GACCTCGATCGTCCCCCCCCCCGACCCGAAAGCCTGGGGCCCTGCGACGGCGCGGCCACGGCGGGCGCCGGCGCGGCCGGCCCGGGCAGCGCCTCGCTGGCGCCGGGCGGCGGCAGAGGAACCTCGCTGTGCAGTTTCGGGGACCCCTTCGAGGGGGCAGAGATGGGGATAGCATCAGAGGCGACGATAGGGGCGAATAGCCCAGGGGAGAGCAATACATGTAGTATTAGGTGCGCCAGTGATCTATGTCTTCGAAAAGGTTCCCGGGCGAATACGTGTAACACCCGCCCCTGGGCCATGAAGCTTCAACATTGGCAGCAGTTTCACAACTGTAGGGCGGGCCGTTTTCAAAAAAATGTGGCTCTCGCCTGAGCGCCGCGCACATTCCTTGTACAACTTTGTAGGAGCTTCACGGATTGAGGGCAGTTCCTTTTCAAAATGTGGCTCTCGCCTTAGCGCCGCGCACATTCGTTGTAAACCGTTGCAAGAAGTTCGCATGTTGAGGGCGGTTCCTTTTCAAAATGTGGCTCTCGCCTTAACGCCGCGCACATTCGTTTGTAACATTTGCAAGACTTTCACGGGTTCCCATGATCAGCATACCAGAAATAGTTTTGGACGTATTCCGGATTATGAGGGTGCAACAGTTGCGTTGGCTCGCGGTGCTGAGGTCCCAGGAATGGTGTTCTGGCGCGATGCAACAGTCAGGTCGATCCGTGGCGATAGAATCCAACAACAATGATTTGGCATGCTTCAGGGTCTTCAAACGGTTATCTTCCAACGAGGCAGTTCCCTGTTGAAATTCACCGTTGTAGGGGCCTATGAAGAGGGAGCTTGGAGGGAGGGTCTATTCCAACATCGTTGACGACTCTTGGGTTTTCACTGGTGCCCCTCCTCCCCATCCTCCCCCTCCCCCTCCCCTCCCCCTCCCCCCTCCCCTCCCCCTCCCCCTCCTCCCTCCTCCTCCTCCTCCTCCTCCGCCTCCTCCTCCTCCTCCTCCTCCTCCTCCTCCCATCTCACCTCCGCCGTCTTCCTCCCCCCCTCTCCCCGTGTACCGAAACCTTGACGAACCCTTGTCGAGCCCGCGTCGGGCACAGGAACTCGGCAGGGCGGGCAAAGAGCCCCCCCGAAGGTGCAGCGGAAAGGAACCCTCACGGCGGAAAGCACCCCTGGGGCGGCCAGCGCCGGCGCCGCCGCCAGCGCCGCGAGCCCCGGGGCCGCCAGCTGGTCGGCGGGGGCGCGCTCTGCCCCGCCGCGCTCGACGCCTGCGATGGCGAGCTGCCCGCGCACGCCCTTCTGGTCGAGGGCTCAAGGACGTCTGCTGTCCCGGGACTCGCGCTGGGGCTCCCACGACCTGCCCCGGATCTCCCCGGAGACCTCTGGGCTGGCCTCGGTCTGTAGCTAGATCTCTTCTGATTCATCCAGATTCGACTCGATCCCCGATCTTCCCCCCCGGTGGTCTTCGGGCCTCACATGAACTCGGGTCTCCGGCGGCCGCTGAGGACGTGTTGGGCAACCCCATAACGCTCTCGGCGAGGCGCAGCTGCTCAAGAGCATATCGAGGCGAGACAGGCACCAGGGACCGACGAGAGCTCCCAGACGCTTCCGAAGCTTGGCCCGCAAGTCTCTTCGACGGAAGTCGTCAAGCCCTCAGGGACCGTCTGCTTCTGCTCGCGCGCGCCCTCGGCACAGCGCCAGACATTTCGAGGCAAGGCCAGGCAAGTGCAGAAATCGTGGACGCTCCAGCGCGAGTCGAGGAACAGCAGAGTCGTTAAGTCCTCAATGGGGGAACCAAACAGATGCCGATACCGCTGCCCCACAAACCTCTCCTGGGTTGAATCCAACCGTGATGGCGAGAGCTCTCCAGAGGTAGAAAAACTACCCTCATAGTAAGCATCGCGGCATGCGAACCCTTCAACAAACGCGCCTCAGGATGAAAACGAGCAGGGCGGGAATGTTCAGCAAACGCCAAGGACTTCACAAGTTATGCGGCTTAGGTTTTCCTCTGAAATCTAGGACCAGCAGCCGTATCGGGATTCGGGGAACAAGAACTTGCATAAACGTAAGCTTTTGGAGGACAGCGCGGATGCCTCAGATCAGCGCCGGAACCCCCTGACGGGCCTCCGGCGCCGCCCCTGGCGCGCTCCGCGCGCAGGGAGGGGGTGTGGAGCGCCGATCCAAAAACTCCGCACGGGCCTCCGAATTCGGAAGTTGGGGGGGGAGATCGCAGTGGAACGGAGACCCCCAACCCGGAAATCGTTTCGTTTCGTTCGTGTCGTGCGTGCGGGCGAGGCGGTGCTGCGTGGGCGCGCGAGAGGAATGAACCCGCCGTTGCTAGGTCGAGAGCAAGACAAATGTTGCTCCCCCGTCCGTCCGTCCGTCCGTCCGTCCGGCGGTGGCCCTAGCGATGTCCCGCGGTGTCCCGCGATGTCCCGTGGTGTCCAGTGGTGTCCGCCGTTGCTAGGGCGAAATCAAGACAAATGTTTCGCTCCCGTCCGTCCGTCCGGCGGTGGCTCGCGGTGTCCCGCGGTGTCCCGTGGCGTCCCATGGTGTCCGCCGTTGCTCGGGCGAAGTGACGACACATGATTCTCCCCCGCCAGCCCGACCGTCCGTCCGTCTGACGGTGGCTGCTCGCGGTGTCCCGCGGTGTCCCGTGGTGTCCCGTTGTTTTCCGTTGAGTGAGATCGATAGTGAGGTCGATAATGAGATCGATAGTGAGATGGATACTGAGATCGATGTGGTGCCCCGAGTTGCCCCGTAGTGTCCCAAAAAGTGCGATCGATAGTGAGATCGATAGTGAGATCGACAGGTGTCCCGTGGTGTCCCGTGGTGTCCCGTTGAGTGAGATCGATAGTGAGATCGATGTGGTGTCCCGAGGTGTCCCGTGGTGTCCTATGGTGTCCCGTTGAGTGAGATCGATAGTGAGATCGATAGTGAGACCGATAGTGAGATCGCCAAGTGTTCCGCGGTGTCCCGTGGTGTCCCGTGGTGGTCCGTGGTGTCCCATGGTGTCCCGTTGAGTGAAGTCGATAGTGAGGTCGATAGTGAGATCGACAGGTGTCCCGTGGTGTCCCGTGGTGTCCCGTTGAGTGAGATGGGTAGTGGGATCGATTGAGTCAGATGTCGGTCCCCCCCTCTCCCCCCCCACACAACCTCCGTATCACCCGAAGGGTGGCCGTATAGGTATCATGTTTATGTCATTATCTGTCTCTCGAAGAGTACTCTCCTCCTCTGACTTGGGGGCCTTCTGCTTCTCCTCGCGCGCGCCCTCCGCGACCGGCGCGGGCGCCGTGCTGCCCCCGAGGGCGCGCAGCGCGGGCCGGAGCACGGCCACCAGGGCCTGCGATGGGCTCCACGTGAGCGACCCCCACTTTGAGCCCAGCGCCTGCCGGGCCTGTGGGAGAGCAGGAACTTACCCATCGGTCGGGAGAAGTAGGTAGAACCATGAAGTCGGAAGGCGTTGGAAGCATATTGGGTCTCCGCCCGCCCCCTGGAGAGGACGAAAACGGTGAGGCCACTCGATCATTGAAGTAGGAAGGAGCTTAAAGTAGATTGGGATCTGGAACTGCAACAATACCTGGATGGGTCAAGTAAAAGACGTGAGCGCTGTAAAGGTTCGGCCGCCATGGCCAGTCTGATGCAGTTTCTCACGAGCCCTTACCATGAACTTGAGAATGTTGACGGTAGGGTTTATAAGGTTAGAAGGGGGAGTCGTCTTCATATTGCTGGAAATTGGGCCCACCCCTCGCACGCACTAACTTTCCACCACGGCTTCAGCCTGTGGTTTTGCAAAGTCTGCGGGTTCTTCGAGCAATCCCAAACAAGTGGCTTAGCGGATGAGTGTAAGACCCCGTGTCCAAGACTCGTAAGGAGTACCTCGATTGGCGATAGGCTTACAAGGGACCTCCACCCGAACGCCAAGGAGCTCAAGGATGCCGATGCTCGGGCAAAGGCTTGAGGAGAAATGTTCGTTAATTTCGCTACGATAATGCTGTAAGTCCTGCCAGTCCCTCCTCCTTCCTCCTTCCTCCTTCCTCCTTCCCTCATCCTCCTCCACCTTCTCCTCCGCCTCCTCTTCCTGCTCGTCCTCCTCATCATCCTCGTCCTCCTCCTCCTCTTCCTCCTTCTCCTCCTCCTGGTTCTCCCCCTCCTCCTCCTCCTCCTCCTCCTCCTCCTCCTCCTCCTCCTCCTCCTCCTCCTCCTCCTACTCGTACTCCTCCTCCTCCCATTTTAAGACGAGGCGAGGACGAGGATAATTCGAGCGAGGATAAATCGAGAATCTCTGAGATCAGCCAGTTCTGGAGAATGTTTCGGGCGCCGCGGCCTTCTCACAACGTCCCCGAACGATCTGAGAGCGTCCAGGAAAGTTCTGGAACGGATTTATCCTCGTCCTAGCCCCATCCGGGCCAGCCTGTGTGATGCTGGAACGTCTTTAATGTTGCACCGAGCTCCATCGCTGGATCTGTCGCCTCCTTGGCCGAACAAGCAGCGTGCTGTGTGCAGACATCCATTGATGTGAGCTTTTCCAATCCGAGGCCCCGTGGACTACAGGTATCCCACCCGCCGAAGCCCCTGTGAACTAATTACAATGACTACAGGTACCCCTCCAGCACCTCCCACTTCCTCGACCACAGGTACCCCCCCACGAGAGACTGGTACCCCCCACGAATTACTGATAGACTCAGAATAATCTTTCGTCCGAGATTCATGCTTGATGGTCCTGAGGCGCGATGACCAGCCCCAAGGAAACAGCGCGCCGCGACTGATACAATCACGTCGTCGGAGATCTGGCTACACATCGAACCCCAGCGACGCCTCCAACGGCCTCCATAATCGACCATCACGAGGCCCAGAGGGCGCCAGAGGCTCCCAAATGGGGCGAGAAACTGGGGACATCTTGGGCCAGCCCGAACTATCCGGGATAACTCCAGTCTGGGGTAACTGCAGTTTGGGCCCCCGACGCGCGAACCAGGAGACCCCTGACCACCCCCAGCCTTCACGCTGTTTTTTGTTTGCGAACTCCCCGATGGCGCACCGCTGCTCACCGAGGTCAGAGTGCAGTGCTAGCGAGCTTGCAGCGCAGCCAGCACAGCCCGCTGCTCAGCGGGTGGGAGAGGAACAGCCTCCCCGTCGCGAAGTCTTTGACTTGTGTACGGGCTCTCTCCCCTGAGCAGCTTGCCTCGGCGGCACTTCGCCTGCGCATTGGCAGGCTCTCCTTCGCACGGCAGACACAGCTTCTTGGCCCGCCCGCTGGAGAAAACCCCGCAATTGCTTCAAATCACAAAACCTCCAGCACGCAAGAGAACGTGCTTACGGCTGGGTGGCCCCAGCGAGGTCCTTGCGGGCAAGACGAAGCGGGCCACTCTAGCATGCGCATTCCTGCAGGGAGTGCGAAAGAGGGCGTGCATTCCCTGAGCCGTGCCAGAGAAGCGACCGCACTGCTGTCATCTCCAAGCCTTGCAGTCTCAGACCAGGTTGTGGGGTCGGGACCCAGGAGGAGGTCCCTCCCGAGCACGCCTTCGAAGGCGGACCCCACTCCGGACCTGGGCCTGGCGGCCTGTGGTGTCCTTGACCGTGCCAACTTGCATAGTCATGCACGCAACAAAACTACACATATTGATCGAGTCCTTGGACCGCTGCTGCCAGACCTGCCTCAATCCCTCGGGGAGCCCGTGCAGGGCCGCGCCTTTCCTGGCCTGCAGGTCCGCCTGCGCGTTACCCAGGACGTCGAGGCGGGCCTGGCCGACGAGGGTATCGGGGTCGCGGCCCGAGTGGGCCTTCACCTTGACAACTTCGAGAGCACCAGAATCTTGAGACTCCTCACGCACAAGCATCCAGATGCGACGCCACAGATCCGCGTGTGGCCTCCTGGCTTTTGTGCACCAGGCCTCTCCACGCTGGAAGCCTCGAGTGAGTCATCCGGGATGACACCGGTCTTGGCCAACTCGGGTCAGGGCCCCCCCGATGCACGCACCAAAAACTACTCCTGACCACCCCCCGCCCTGCTGATTCGGGGCTCGGAACATTTTTGGGCCCTTAGCGGGGAGACCAGAAAGGCACCGATACCGCTACTCCCCAGACCCCTCCCGGGGTGCGTTCTGACGAGAATTTCGAGGCGAATCCAGCGGTGGCGACGAGGGCCTCCGAGGAGGCCCAGAAAGAGGAAAACGTGTGGAGGGTAGAGGCATGGGTATCTTTCCCTCCTCTGACTTGGCGCCCCCCCGGACGGCGCAGTGCCCCGGGCCTTTCGGAGCGCCAGCGCCCACAATACCAGCCACACCACCGCCCCGCGCCACGACCGCAGCCCCAGGCGGCGCATGCCACCCCAGAGGACCACGTTCGCGGCGAGCGCCGACCACGGCCACGCGACAGGCCCCGGCAGCAGCGAGCTCCGCGAGCGCGCCTGCCAAGCCCGAGTTGGATCGAACCGCAAAATCGGATCGGATCTGACACAGGCGATGATAGAGACGATCCGCTGGCCCCCTTGCGGGGCCATCAGGCTGCGAGACTTAGATTTACTGCTCCCTGCACCAGCTCCAGTTCCCAGTGTTACAATATCTGCTCTGTCCGCGCGAGAGGGGGGGAGCCGACAAGGACCCTGGTTAGCGTCCCCCGGGAGGGTTCTCAGAATTTCAGGGAAGCTTGGGACACGTAGAAATACATGAGATTCGCGCTTCCGAGGTCACGATCCCGCGTAAATTACGCAACATTCGTGCCCCCGAGGCTACGATCCGCTGTAAATTATGCCACCATCGCGCTCTCGAAGCCACCTTCTCTGGGAAATTATCCAGCATTCGCGCCCCCGAGGCCACAATCCCGCGAACATTCGCCAAATTCGCGCCTCCGAGGCCACGATCTGGTGTAAGTTACCAGAAACATTAGCGCCCCGATGCCACGATCCCCGTTAAATTACGTCACATTCGCGCCCAGAAATCTTCTAAGTTAGACCTAATTCTCGCCCCCGAGGCAATGACCCCTAGTAAATTACACCACATTCGCGCCCCTGAGGCCACGATCCCTGCTAAATTATACCACAATCGCGCCTCCGAGGCCACGATCTCATGTGAATTATCGCATATTTACGCTTCCGACGCCACAATCCCTCGCAACTCACACCACATTTGCGCCCCCGAAGCCACGATCCCTAGTAAATCGCGCTGCATTCGCGCCCCCGAGGCCACGATCTCCTACAAGAAGTCCCAACAGGCGCCCAGGACGCGCCCAAGAGGCCTCCAAGAAACCTAAAAGATACCCCGCGAGGCCCTCAAGAGGCGTCCAAACCGCCTCCAAGAGGCCCCCGAGAGGCTTCCCACGACACCCCAATACACACACACATACACACACACACACACACCTATATATATATATATATATATATATATATATATATATATATATATATATATATATATATATATATATATATGTATAAGAGGCCTCAGAACCACAACCCAGGCACGGTGGCGGGATGGGCCGAAAGCCACTAGGATCCGCCGCCCCCTGCTTGCAGGGGTGCACGGCGTGCTGGATGTTTCAGGTTTTGGTTTTGGTTCTTTTTCCAAAAGAACTCCCCCAATGGGCTCCGGCACGTCCCGCCGGGGTCCCGGGAGGAAGCCGAAAGGACCTCAATCCGGAAAAAAATCCTCCAAAAAACGGCCGTTTCGCTCGGGACATCCTCAAAAAATCGCGAAGATGGCCCAAGATGGCCTCCAAGTCCGCCCGAGATGGTCCAAGACGGCCTCCAAAACGGCCCAAGAGAGTCCAAGACGGCCCAAGACGGCCCAAGAGGCCCCCCAGAGGCCTCCCAGACGGCCCAAGAGGCCTCCAAGAGGTCCTCCAGGAGAGTCCGAAGAGGCCAAAATCATTGATTTTTCCTTGGTTTTTGAAGGATTCTGGCATTTGCGCCTTTTCGGCTCTCCGACGGCTCGAGACGGCCCAAGAAGCCCCCAAGATCGCCCAAGAGGCCCCCAAGAGAGCCCCATGATGGCCCAAGTGGCCTCCAAGATGGCCCCTAGAGGGCCCCAAGAGGGCCCAAGAGGCCTCCAACACGCCCAAGATGGCCTCCCAGACGCCCAAGATGGCCTCCAAGACGGCCCTGGAGCATTCCAAGCGGGCCCCAAGTCGGCCCATAGAGGCCCCCCAAACGGCTTCCGACGGCTTCAGACGTGCCAGGAACCCACCAAGATGGCCGAAGTTGGCTCGAAGCTGGCCCGAGACGGCCCAAAAAGCCCCAAAGATCGCCCAAAGCTTGCCCAAGAGGCCTCCAAGACGGCCAAGATGACCTTCAAGATGCCCACGTGTTCCCCGAAGGCTTTCCAAACCGATTCGGGGAACACGTGGTCCGATAGCTTGGCAGGTCTGGCCTCAACGTTCGGCCACATAGGCGCTTCCAAAAAGGCAGGGGGCGGCGGTGATTCGCCGTAGGCGTCTTCGATCCGCCGCCCCCTGCTTGCAGGGGTGCACGGCGTGCTGGATGATTCAGGTTTTGGTTTTGGTTCTTTTTCTAAAAGAACTCCCCAGTGGGCTTCGGCCCGTCCCGCCGGCCACCCGCGCATTTCCCAAAATGCGTCTGTCAATGCCCAAAAACGGCCGTTTCGCTCGGGACATCCTCAAAAAATCGCGAAGATGGCCCAAGATGGCCTCCAAGTCCGCCCGAGATGGTCCAAGACGGCCTCCAAAACGGCCCAAGAGAGTCCAAGACGGCCCAAGACGGCCCAAGAGGCCCCCCAGAGGCCTCCCAGACGGCCCAAGAGGCCTCCAAGAGGTCCTCCAGGAGAGTCCGAAGAGGCCAAAATCATTGATTTTCCCTTGGTTTTTGAAGGATTTTGGCATTTGCGCCTTTTCGGCTCTCCGACGGCTCAAGACGGCCCAAGAAGCCCCCAAGATCGCCCAAGAGGCCCCCAAGAGAGCCCCATGATGGCCCAAGTGGCCTCCAAGATGGCCCCTAGAGGGCCCCAAGAGGGCCCAAGAGGCCTCCAACACGCCCAAGATGGCCTCCCAGACGCCCAAGATGGCCTCCAAGACGGCCCTGGAGCATTCCAAGCGGGCCCCAAGTCGGCCCATAGAGGCCCCCCAAACGGCTTCCGACGGCTTCAGACGTGCCAGGAACCCACCAAGATTGGCCGAAGCTTGGCTCGAAGCTGGCCCGAGACGGCCCAAAAAGCCCCAAAGATCGCCCAAAGCTTGCCCAAGAGGCCTCCAAGACGGCCAAGATGACCTTCAAGATGCCCACGTGTTCCCCGAAGGCTTTCCAAACCGATTCGGGGAACACGTGGTCCGATAGCTTGGCAGGTCTGGCCTCAACGTTCGGCCACATAGGCGCTTCCAAAAAGGCAGGGGGCGGCGGTGATTCGCCGTAGGCGTCTTCGATCCGCCGCCCCCTGTGGTCTTGCCACAGGGGTGCACGGCGTGCTGGATGTTTCAGGTTTTGGTTTTGGTTCTTTTTCTAAAAGAACTCCCCAGTGGGCTTCGGCCCGTCCCGCCGGCCACCCGCAAGTTTCCGAAAATCCATCTGTCAATGCCTTTGTTGCCCCAACTTGGCCCAAGATGGCCTCCAAGACGGCCAAGATGGCCCAAGATGGCCTCCAAGATGCTTCCAAGACGGCCAAGATGGCCTCCAAGACGGGTAAGATGGCTCCAAGATGCACCCAAGACGGCCCAAGATGGCCTCAAGATGGTCTAAGACGGCCCAAAAGGCCCGCAAAAGGCCTCCAAGACGGCCCAAGAGCCCTCCAAGACGCCCTCCAGGAAGGCCCGAATAGGTTAAAATCATTGATTTTCCTTAGGTTTTTCAAGGATTTTGGCATGTTCTTCTTTTCAGCTCTCCGACGGCCCAAGACGGCCCAAGAGGTCCCCAACATCGCCCCAACAGCACCCAAGAGGCCTCCAAGATGGCCCCATGACGGCCCAAGAGGCCCCCAAGAAGGCCCCAAGAGGGCCTCAAGACGGCCCAAGAGGCCTCCAAGACGCCCAAGATGGCCTCCAAGACGGCCAAGATGGCCCAAGATGGCCTCCAAGATGCCTCCAAGACGGCCAAGATGGCCTCCAAGACGGGTAAGATGGCTCCAAGATGCACCCAAGACGGTCCAAGATGGCCTCAAGATGGTCTAAGACGGCCCAAAAGGCCGGCAAAAGGCCTCCAAGACGGCCCAAGAGCCCTCCAAGACGCCCTCCAGGAAGGCCCGAATAGGTTAAAATCATTGATTTTCCTAAGGTTTTTGAAGGATTTTGACATGTTCTTCTTTTCAGCTCCAAAGCAAGGCATCCATAGAGGCCCCCAAGATGCTTCCAAGACCGCACATGTGGCCCAATATAAACCCAGAGTAGCCAAAAAGGCACTCAAGAGACCTCCTCCTCCATTCCCCCCCTTCCTATCTCTCCTCTCCTCCCCGTCCTCCCCCACGTGTTCCCCGAAGGCTGTAAAGACCGATTCGGGGAACATATGGCCCAATAACTTGGCAGACCTCTGGCCACAGCAGTCGGCCGCATCGGCGCTTCCGAAAGGGCAGGGGGCGGCGGTGATTCGCCGTAGGCGTCTTCGATCCGCCGCCCCTTTTGCTTCAGCAACGGGGTGCCCGGCGTGCCAAATCCTATCGGTTTTGGTTTTGGTTCTTTCTGTTCTTTTTCCAAAAGAACTCTCCCAGTGGGTTTCGGCCCGTCCCGCCGGTGTCCCGGGATTTTTTCCAAGGACCTCACTTCCCCAATTTTCTGCCCCAGACGGCTCCAAGATGGCCTCCAAGATGGCCAAGATGGCCCAAGATGGCCTCCAAGATGGTCCAAGATCGCCTCCAAGTCCGCCCAAGATGGTCCAAGACGGCCTCCAAGACGGCCCAAGAGAGTCCAAGGGGGACCCAGACGGCCCAAGAGGCCCCCCAGAGGCCTCCCAGACGGCGCAAGAAGCCTCCAAGAGCTCCTCCAGGAGGGCCCGAAGAGGCCAAAATCATTGATTGTCCTTGGGTCTTTAAAGGATTTTGGAATTTGCTTCTTCTCGACATTCCGACGGGCTGAGGACGGCCCAAGAGGCCCCCAAGATCGCCCAAGAGGCCCCCAAGAGGGCCCCATGACGGCCCAAGTGGCCTCCAAGATGGCCCCAAGAGGGCCCCAAGACGGCCCAAGAGGCCTCCAACACGCCCAAGATGGCCTCCAAGACGCCCAAGATGGCCTCCAAGACGGCCCCGAAGCGCCCCAAGAGGGTCCCCCGTTGGCCCAGAAAGGCCCCCCAGACGGCGTCAGGCGTGCCAAGAACCCACCAAGATGGCCGAAGTTGGCTCGAAGCTGGCCCAAGCCGGCCCAAGAGGCCCCCAAGAGGGCCTCCAGGAAGGCCAGAAGAGGCCAAACACATTGATTGTCCTTAGGTTTTTGACGGATTTTGACATTTCCTTCTTTTCGGCCTTCCGACGGCCC